ACTTTGGATAACAAACAGTTGTTATCCAAAGTGTAGTACATATCTACTATTCTTATTTGTTATGAGTGTGAACAAATGTTTAAGATCCTTGGGAAGCGGGTGATTACCTGCTGGCACTCTTTCGTTCTATTGAATGACTGAATATATTTATGTATTAATAAATGTGATGATAATATGTGGTATATTTAATAACTGCAGGGAAGACACTTTAGAAGTCTATCCGGTAACTAACTACATTTGTTTCGGCTCCCATCGATGTGTTTATCTAACTCATGAGGCACGGTAGTCTAGTGGTAGGACACCGGGCTCGTGACCGAAGATGTGAGGGTTCGAGTAACGGCATGGCACTGTGTTGTATCTTTGAGCAAGATACTTTACTCCTCTTGTTCCAGTCTACTCAGCTGTAAATGAGTACGAGGTTGAGCAATGCTATAATTGTTGAATGCTAGCTGTGAGCGCTGATATGGCAGCACCGGCTGTATGCTACGCAGGGAGATGAGTAAGATATTGACTTGTTGCAAAGCCCCTATAACCACGGATAACTATTTGTGAGACGACATAAGAACTAGGTTGTGATAAAGCGGTGTATAAGAACCTCGAACAAATAGCCAATTGTGCTCGTTTCAGAGTGCACAAACAATTTGTCGGCGGCATTGTGTTATGTTTTGTGAAACACATTTACTGGGATTTCATTATTTTCTTGGTTCATTTCAATACGTTGACGTAACATGTCCTACTAGTAATACAGAATCGGTTGTCAAGACCAAGTTTACCAGAGTAATCGCCCTTTAACTACAGTCCCTCACTTAGCTATAATTACTGAAGTCTATATTAGTCCTGTGGTATACATTATCCCTTAGCACAACATACATACTCATAAATGGCCAGTTCAGTGATAAAACGTTGTGGAGATGCTTTGTCGCGAATGATGCAGCTATCCCATTCCATATCAATTTAACCCATAGCTTTTTATTTACTCAGATAAAACCACAGCAACAGTAGTAAGACAGACGTGATTCTGAAAGGTGCCTGACAGCGCCTTCGCTCTATCCTTCATAAACATTTATGCATAAATAATTTCAAAATGTTAACGTAGTTGTCAATGCTACCTTATAACTTACCCTCGGATCGTACATAGAACAAAAGAACCACACCTCCCAGACAGACGAAAAGTCTCCTGACATCCATGTCCATTGTCCACCCTATCTGCTTACAACAGCTAACCAGGAAGTTTATTTAAGAACGCTACGCACGAATTGAATTAGTTTAGTTAGTTCAATAGGATATTTTGTTTAAAAAACACACTGTTATATTTACCATATATTGTGTTATTATATTTTCCTATATGAATCAAGGGTAAAATACCAAACCTTTTTATCATAAATTTATTTGATGTATTTCATGCGTACTGTGATTATTATGTGCACTCCGATGTCAACATATAAACTTTTACGCATTGAGGAGTTGTTGCACTCTCAATGTTTGCTATAGAAAACACTATAAAGTTACCTCAATCAGCGCAATAATATGTTTATGGAAAGTCACATACAGCAATATACAAAAGCAATTAATGATGCAAAAAGGTGAACGCTTTGAAATGTTTACAGTGTCAAATTTAAATGAGTATATAACGACATACCTAGACCTTGTATTAACTAGTTACACCGTAAACTGTATACATCCGATTATTCTATTGGCTTTACATACAAGCTTACACAATATCAGGTTATCGTACCACCGTCTCAAATATCATTACCTACGGTATTCAGACGTATCATGAGTTGATATTATTAATTTCATTCTCGTTTCAACTATTTAAAGAATGAATAAAAGAGAATAGGCAAAGGCTTAACAAGACTACTCGTAATGTAAAACCGTCAACAGAGGTCGTTTTCATTTGGTCCCCTTTCATTGGAGTGTTTTTGTTTCATTTGTAAACATACAAAAGATACTTACAGAACAGCGATCAAAAGTGTTTTAATTTTTCCCATAATGTTTAAAAAAATAGAGCACCGTATATACAAATGGAAACGCGACGGAAGTTCAAATCATTAGTTTGTATCTTTATACAACACTTATCTGATGAATGGATGTGGAGGGGGTGGATTCAAGATGGTTAAGTTTGCTAAGGACGTTCGTCATCTTGAATCCGTTTCTATGCAGCGGATTCAAAATGGCTGCCTAAGCAACCCCCTCAACCTACGGCCCTCATCCTCCCATTATCATCATGTTTTGCGTGTTTGTGTGTGTTACCTCATCAAGTTTGTTGTGTGTGTGTCGTCAACAATATGAGCGTAATTAACGGATTATTTCCCCTTTCAGAAACGGATTATATCCCCTTAATGAAAGTAATAATAATAATAATTCGAGGTTCTTGTATACCGCTTTATCACAACCTAGTTCGTATGTCGTCTCAAAGCGGTTCACAACTTATTATCCGTGGTTATAAGGCCTTTGCAACCAGCCAATATCTTTCTCAGCTCCCTGAGGAGCATACAGCCGGAGCTGTCATTGCAGCTGAGTAGACTGGAACAAGCGGAGTAAAGTATCTTGCTCAGAGATACAATACGGTGCCGCAACGTGACTCGAACCAACAACCCTTCGGTCACGAGCCCGGCTTCCTACCACTAGACTACCGTGCCTAGTAAGGTTAAGTAAGTAAGGTTATCCTCATGCAATGAGGATAACTTTGATCGTGAGGATAACTTTTCTTAACTGTTTTTAATGGCGTCATCCAGTTTTCGTATGGCTGTAGAGTGTGTATTTTGAAAGACTGGGTTGGTTTTGGAGACATCATCGAGTTTTTCTGCTTACGTTAGGCCGAGTGTACGTTATTTAGCTGACGGATTGGTTTTGACGACGTCATCGAGTTTTGTAATATCAGTAAAATTACAGAAAGGTTATCCTCACAAAATAAGGATAACTTTGATCGTGAGGATATCCTTTCTTAACTATTTTTTAATGACGTCATCGAGGTTTTCGGCTTACGTTAAGCTTACGGGTTGGTTTTGACGACGATTTTGCATGACTGTAGAGTGTGTATTTGGACTGACGGGTTGCTTTTGATGACGTCATCGAGTTTAAGCATAGCTATAGAGTTATATATTTAGACTGACGGGTTGGTTTTGATGATGTCATAACTGGAAGTGAAATCTTTATGTTGGTTTTGACGGCAGCTTCGGCGGCTTTAGTTGATATCTAGCTTACTGGTTTTGACGACGTCATCGATTTTTTGCATGACTGTAGAGTGTGTATTTGGACTGACGGATTGGTTTTGACGATATCATCATATTTTCGGCTTACGTTAGTATACGTTATCTAGCTTAGGTCTATCTCGATTCCAATCTCGTGTAATGTAATGATACTAAAATTTCGACCAAGAAAGGGTATAAATATAACAAAAATAGACATCTATGTATGTCTATATTTGATAACATTCGAGTAAAAGTGATCTATTATGTTGTCAAATTCAGCGTGTACTGTTCGCAATCATTCGCTCTCCGATCAAATTTCATCTAAGGTGGACACTGAGAAAAAGAAAAGATTGTATATCCATGATAATGAGTAATCAGACAAAACATTATCATCGGAAAGCGATGAACATCGTGTATCGTGATAGTTATCGTGGATTATCAATTTGTGAAATATTTACCAAAGATTTGAGATACAAAGAATGAATTCATTTCTGAAACAATTTCAAATGTTAAAGAGACAAAAAAATGGTATAAATACAGACATTCCATAGTTTCGTAGGTAAAATACATAATGTTGTCAAAAGAGCAGGAAGATTATCTGAATAAAATATGGTATGGCCCTAAACACGTGGTAGCTTATACCGGTCCCGAAAAGTTGTTTGAAACTGTGCGAAATGAAGGCAAGTTTGAAATTAGTCCACCACAGATCACAGACTGGCTGCAGCGTTCGAAGACAAGAGAGACAGAAGACCCTCGGATGAAAACTCCTTTAAAAAACAAGAAAGCCAACACCCTATTGGAAGCTTTTAAAACAATTTTTGCCAAAAGAAAACTAACTTTGGTCAGATCTGATCATGGAAAGGAGTTTCTGAATGACTCGTTTAAAAGGTATTGCACATCCAAGGACGTCGTACACATAGCAAGTCACAGTGTTTACAAAGCTGCTTTTGCCGAATGTTTCAAAGGTAAATTGAAAAATGTTTTGTATAGGTACTTCCACTCGAAGCAGACATTCAAGTTCTTAGACGTATTACCAGGTCTTGTTCGAAGTTATAACAGTAGAACACATTCCGGTCTGTATGACTTGGCTTCCAAGAACGTGAACGAAGACACACAGACATCATCTTTTTCAGAAGAGACGATGGTGCCAAGCCTTCAAAGAAAAGACCGTATAAGTTTAAAAAGGGGGATCAAGTGAGATTGAGTTATAAAGTACGCCAGTTTCGTCGTGAATGGCAACAGAAATAAACCGAAGAAATATTCAAAGTTTTAACCATTATTACCGAGGAAACATTCCCGTGTATAAAGTCAAAAATTTCGATGGTGAACGAATACAGTGGTCTTTCTACGGCCAAGAATATCAGAAAGAGAATAAAGATAAAGACACAGTCTGGAATATAAAAGAAGTTTTAGAAACGAAAAAGGTCAAAGGAAAGAAATTATCATTAGTAAGATGGTTAGACTGGCCATAAAAAATCGATTCTTGGATTGATGCCCACGACATATTCCCGAAAAAAAGTATAAATACATTGCATTGAACACATTTTTACATCATTTAGATCATCATCATCATGCATAACGAACACATTTGCCCGATTTGCTTCAAATCTTTTACGAGGGCATGTTCAAAATCACGAAATATTAGAAGTAAACATACGAACGACGTTTAACATGATACATATCGATTTGGCGTATCTTCTTTGAAAAAAACCTGAAATGTTTCGATTGAAGAAAAAACATATCCTTTCGAAATAAGCAATGTTCCAGAACAGCTGTTACCACCCGTTCCCATAGGTCATTTCTTACCTTGGAAACATCCTTTTACGTGCCTGCTTGATGGCCCTACAGGATGTGGTAGGCCGTCCCTAGTTACAGCTAAATCAGGACTAGAGAATAAACTTCCGTATATGTCTGAGAACATTACATTTCACTTATGGTAGGCCGTTACTAGTTACAGTTAAATCAGGACTAGAGAATAACTTCCGTGTATGACTGAGACCATTACATTTCGGCTGTGGTAGGCCGTCCGTAGTAACAGTTAAATCAGGACTAGAGAATAACATGCTGTGTATGACTGAGACCATTACATTTCGGCTGTGGTAGGCCGTCCCTAGTGACAGCTAAATCAGGACTAGAGAATAACTTCTGTGGTGTATGACTGAGACCATTACATTCGGCTGTGGTAGGCCGTCCCTAGTGACAGTTAAATAGGACTAGAGAATAACATGCTGTGTATGACTAACACCATTACATGGTGAAAACACCGGGTTTTATTTTACAAATTCGTGCGTAGCGTTCTTAAATAAACTTCCTGGTTAGCTGTTGTTAGCAGACAGGGTGGATAAAAGATATGGATGTCAGGAGACTTTTCGTCTGTCTGGGAGGTGTAGTTCTTTTGTTTTGTGTACGATCCGAGGGTAAGTTATAAGGTAGCATTGACAACTACGTTAACATTTTGATTTTTTTTATACATTAATATATATGAAGGATAGAGCGTAGGCGCTGTCAAGCACCTTACAGAATCACGCCTGTCTTATTACTGTTGCTTTGGATATATCGGAGTAAATGAAAAGCTATGGGTTAATTTCCACCCCTGTACTTACTTAATGATATTTGATCTGGAATGGGAAAGCTGCATCATTCGCGACGAAGCATCTCCACAACGTTTTATCACTGAACTGGCCATTTATGAGTTGTATGTTATGCTAAGGGATAATGCAGGACTAATATAGACTTCCGTATTTATAGCTAAGTAAGGAACTGTAGTTAAAGGGCGATTACTCTGGTAGACTTGTTCTCGACAACTGATTCTGTTACGTATTGAAACTAACCAAGAGGATAACGAATTCCCAGAAAAGTGTTCAAAACCTATAACTTGTTTTGATCCAAAACATTATGAATTTTAGCCATTTAAATATAATTTCTATAATAATACCACTGCATAGTGTTGAGGCAAAGCATGACAACATGCTGCGAACAATTTGTTTGTGCCATCTGAAACGAGCACGATTGGATATTTGAGCCTGATGATATAGATAAACACATCGATAGCAACCGACACATATGTAATTAGTTACCGATTAGACCTTCAAAGTGTCTTCACTGCAGTTTTTAAATATACCATTAATTATCATCCCATTTATTGATAGAAATATATTCAGTCACTCAATAGGACGAAAGATTGCCAGCAGGTAAGCAGACTCTTCCCGAGGATCCTAAACATTTCTTTACACTTATAATGAATAAGAGTAACCGTGTAACCACACATACAAAGCCAGGTACAGCTTATATTAAATCGAGATCAAATTTAGAAGCGTACAAATCAAAAATTAATATTGTACCCTAGACATCCTTTTGTGTTAGCAATTTTTCATTCTCATTATAGGAAAACATGAAAATAAATCGAAAAAATGTCAAATTAGGGAACACCTATATTTCAATAGTTTGATACTGCACATTGGATAATATGAGATGGGAAGTATATCACAACTCTTGAGGTAAGTCGTGACGATTATCAAGGCTATAAAATAGTTATATTATGTATTATTGTGTGATCACAATATCTGTTTTCATTATATGACATCCTGATACTGACTTTTATATGTGATATGCTTACAACTGCAAAATAAATACCATGATAACAATTTGTAATTACTATGAATACTCAATCATCATGACTACCATGCTGTCGAAGCCATGATGTAATAACCATGGTGACCATAAAACCATGATTACTCAAGAAGGGCCCCGCTATGCATCTTACCCTAGTAGTGAGATTAAAGTGAATGTTACATTGACATTTAATTGTTACTTATATACTCCTATAAACTTTTGACGACCTCTCATAATGACTTGACCCGAAACGTTATTATTTGGACAATGTTGTTACTACTTTATCGTCATTCTTCGGAAAGGCGAGCTAAACAATTGACATACATTTAACTACGAGACTGGTTCCAATCGATATTCTCAAAGCCCCTTTTCAACAAATTCAGAAGGTTTTATGAAGAACCACATCCCAAATGTAAAAATAAGATTAAGAGCAAAAGTGAAATTGATTTATTTTATAATGTGGATTGTTTTTCATTTTCACTGTAGGAATTTAATACTATATTTATCTGCAAATAAGCTCTCTGGAATATTGTGTCATATCATGATAAAAGAACAAAATGTTTAGCAGTTCAGAGATGTAAAATTTGACCTTGAACTTTGATCTGATGACCTTGAGGTTTGGTCAGTGACACATTGATTGATTCTGACAAACTTTGCTTCATAATGTTATAACAAAATGTTTGACCTTTAAGAGATGTAAAATTTGCCAATAATAAAGTGTTATGTCAAAACCAAAGGTGGCTGATTAGCGGCCATTTTAAATCACAATTGGTTCGAATAGAATATTAAGAAAGTAGAACTAGGGTCCAAGGGTCATCATATATAACAACTTATTGCACATACGCTTACAGCATAGCCGAATCGACATCGATTTGTGGACAACTCGTACATATTTTACACCTTTGTGTACAGAAGCTTCAGTGGTCATTTGCCCTTTGAAGGTGACAGAGTACATACCGTACTAGTCATTGAAACTTCACATATTAACACTGATTGGTTTTGCTACAAGAACATTTTCACAAACACCTTTTACCATTATACAAGTTATATTCAAGCATCTACCATACGTTTACTTTTTCTCTTTGGTATATTAACCTAAATTAGTGATAAATTTCGTTAAAAAACATATTTTTAATGTTTCAGAAAACATTTCGTTTGGAAGCACTGCAAAACAGAGCAGTGATCAGTCGTCATCAGGTTGGGAAGCAAACGCGGCCGTGGACGGTTGTTTGAAGCAGCATATAGATTCTGGTTGCTGTTCCCATACAGAATCGCTCGGCTGGAAAGAAGCCTGGTGGCAGGTGGATCTAGGAAGTCTCAGCACCATCAGTTATATCACAATATTCTACAGGGGTTTGTTAATGTGTCCTATAACAAATGTATAGCATTGACATATATTAGCATTGCATAGTATCATAGTAGAATCTGGCATTCATTGTACCATGAATGATCACGAATCTGAATTACAACATTAACATATATCTATATCCCCGATGTATCCTATTCTAGTTACCCTCTACATATGACACTCGTAAACAATCAACATTTATTTAATTTTTACTTGTTTTATAAAGTTGAAGCCGTTGACGATTTCCGAAGTCGATTTGCTGGTTACCAACTCTACATGTCGAATACCACTGACTGGACACAGGGTGTTCTCTGTTATGAAGACAGGAGTAATACTGAGGAGGAATTAGATACGGTGGTGACTCACCAGTGCCCGTATGTAGCTCAGTATGTGACCGTCTACAACTACAGAAATAATACAACGCGACATGACTGGTATGATACTTACGCTGTTTTGGAGCTTTGTGAAGTACAAGTGTTTGGTAAGTAGAAATGTTTGAGGATCCCCGTATCACTGGCAAAACAGTAAATATGAATCAGAATCTTGTTTGCCTGCATGAAAAAAACCGAATAAACCATTTCTAATAACGAAAAATATCTAACATCAGTGTTATGAGAGAAAACTAATATTGGACTAGACTTGGTTTCAACCCAACCCAATTCAGTTATATACCTACAGTGACATTCTCTGGTGTTTTGTCTACAGTAGGAAAGGAATCAAAAAGGGTAATACGCTTCTCTAATGATGACAACTAACCATGGTTTTGTTTTGATTACACTAAGAATATCATACTATTGTGTTAAGTACAACGCCCATCTTTTCCAAATAAAGCTGTTATAACGTTTGTCTATGTTTTATAAGCCCACCATCATCTGATGGTGGGCTATTCAAATCACCCTGCGTCCGTGGTCCGTCGTCCGCCGTCCGTCATTAAACAATTATTGTTATCGTTATTTCCCATTGGTCCTTAGATGTGCAAGGCAACTTTCGAGACTGATCGGATAAACAACATGGCCGACAGGCAGCCATCTTGGATTTTGATAGTGAAAGTTTGTTATCGCTATTTCTCAAGAAGTACCAGAGGGATCTTTCTCAAATTTTATATGTAGGTTCCCTGTTCCCTTGTTGTGCAGCAGTGCCTGAAATGTACGGTCTCCCGCTTGCCAATGGCGATTAAAGTCTTGCTCGGGCGACCAAAAGTTGTCAAAAGTGAAGTAGTCACTGGCCCAACAAAAATAGTTGAAAAATTTATGAATAAAAGAAATTATAGTCCCTTCCACATTAACTGGGGGGCAGTAAATTTTTCAGTTGTCATTACTTCGATTTGAATCGAACTGTCGGTCATTTTCAGTTTTTCTATATAAATATAGGAAGACCTGAATGGAGTGGATCATATCAGGTTTTTTAAAACTAGCGTTGAAGAATTAAAAATATAATGTTTTATTCTGTTTAACATTTAACAAACATTGTCATGTTAAATGTAATTTAAATCTGCTGAAGCATTGTATTAAATGCTGTGGAAATATTTCTTGCCAAAATTATTTGGGCCACCAATATGTCATTTGGGCCAGTGCTTCAAATTCTTTACTCGCCCCAAAACATTTTTTTGGGCCAGCCAATGCAGGTTCCCAACTATCCTTTATTGTTCATGTTTACTTTTGAAACTGATCAGTTAAACAAAATTGCCTACCGACAGCCATCTTCGATTTTTGACATTAAAGGTTTGTTAGTACTATTTCTCAGGACTAACTTAAGGGATCTTTCTTTGATATGTAGGTTCCCTTTGATCCCTCGTTTTCCATGTTTCCATTTTGAGACTGATCATAAAAACAAAATGGCTAAAGGAAGAACTTAACAGATCTTTCTCATATTGCAATGATCGATTCTATTTCTTTCACATTAAGTACTGTTCTAGTAAATATGTGAAATGACAAACTCACTTTGAAGGTTGGCTTTTATACACGTCAGATCAAAAGTTACCTCAAGGTGCATTTACTGTTAACATGACTCGATCAAACAGATTAGAGGAAAGAAGAGAAAAGATCGAACTGACAAAGAACTAATGAAGTTGGTACAATGGTGGGCGCCAAGATCCCTCTGGGATCTCTTGTTGTAGTTGTTAAAATATAGTTCAACTCGATAAAAATATATCTAGCTTTATAGATGATTTGACTATTACATTGGTATTATTATAGAAACTCATAATGATCTAAAATTCTTTTTTTTTTGGGAAAAAATCGTCAAAATGTGTCCCATTAATCTTCCTTGGTAATTTTAAACAAAAACATAAATCACCGAAAAGGAATGATCGGTTATGATATTCATTTATATTCCTTCACAAAACTTCATTTTGAAATATAAATTGCACTTAAACTCGTAGATTTTACTTGAGAATTTCATCACTACAAATATGGCTAAATCCCATAAACACCAGTAGAATATTAGCTATACATACAAGGCCAAATAGTGAAATTTATGTAGTTTGTTGAATTTGGACAACGTTGTTTTCAATACACGAAGCTCATTTTATTGTCACAACACGAAACTTACTTTATTTCCATAACACGAAATTTATTTTACTTTCACTACACGAAGCCAATCTAAATTTGTGCACTGCGACTGTTCATTGTAGACAATGTTTTGTACATTTACAGGCTGTCGATTAGGGAAACACGGAAACGGCACTTGTAACAACACATGTTCGGATAACTGCTATGGTGGTAACTGCGACGCGTCAACCGGTTCATGTTTCTGTAAGTTACTTTTTTCATTAATTATGAACCGTTATATTATTCTCTGAATAATGATATTGATACGCTTGCTTGTTCCATGTTGATATTGTTCAGTATCCCCTTATGTGCCAGGCAGTTATGTTCCACGCATTTAAATGTGCACCACCCTGTAGTTATGTTTTAAAGATACAACATCCTAGTTTGCCAACTGGTAAGACAATGATATAAATATCAGCTTATGCTTTTGTAATATTTTTTCTCTTCGGATGATGTTACCTTTTCCAGTAAAACAGGTGAACAACAGTATATTAAAAGACTTACACCAACTTAACATATGTTATTGAAGGTTACACTTTTCTGTTTTGATATATTCTATAATGTGCGGTAGGTTCTGCATCTTCGAAAATATGATCGAATAGAATTGTGTTTCAAATTATCATTAAATATTAACAAAGATGCATTTCAATATTTTTTTTAATTTCTTCCACTATAGCGAAAAAATGACACGATTCTGTTAAAACAGTTGTAATATTATACAGATATAAATTGTATGCATAGATAAAAGCACGCTTACACTTTTTTTCCATACTAAGGTGGCAGCTATTCAGAAGTCGTTCAATAGATCTTATACCGCGTGTGCGATGTAACAACACTTTTGGTTAAAAACCATGGATTATTGTACGATAGACAATGTGCGTGCGTGTATTATGTTCCAACAGACCAACGCTCCTCCAAACTTCCTTCGAAATGTACCGGTAATCGAGCGAGTCTCGGGACTGGTTCTATTTGTAGATTGAGGATAACCGTATTTTGTATGTACATTGTATATTTCGTAGATTTGCTTGCGGTTAAAAAAAAACGAAAAACTATTATCTTCTTGAACTATATCAGGCAAGTGGGAATAATATTATAACAGGCAAGTGGGAATTTGGTATAACAGGCAAGTGGGATTTATAGTATAACAGGCAAGTGGGAATTATAGTATAACAGGCAAGTGGGAATTATAGTATAACAGGCATGTGAGGATTATAATATAACAAATAGGATTTTTTTCAAAATCATAACGATGTGTTGTACGTATACTCTTCTGTTAGTTGAATCAAATAAGTGACATTTCGATGTCTTGCATTATACTGTTCAAAGATATGTTTATTTTATTAGATTGCCCCTCGAGAAAGCATGGTAAAATGTGTGATCGGGACTGTTCTTCAAATTGTAAAGAAGGCTTATGTGACAAGGACACTGGATATTGCAATGGTAACAGTTTACGGGGAAGAGAAAGGGTAAAATATATAAAAGTAATTGAACCACGTTTCTAGATTGTTTGCAACCGATGAAATAGGTATAATTTATGTGTGTAGTAAACAATGTGAAATTTAAGCTGTATACACATCAGGAAGATGTTACCTTTGATTTCAATGACTATTTAGTTGACCAAGAAAGTTGATCCCGGAAGATTTGAAAATTGACTACATTCCTGGTAGTCCTTTCTGTGGGGGAGTTATCAAAATTTATACTAAAATAAATTGTTGCCTTTATCATATGTGACTCAAAATGCAATATAATGGAAACAATCTTTAACTGAGGTCAAATCTTAAAAACAAGTTTCATACATTGTGCACTTATTTGACACCACTTTGTTACCTTTATCACTAAATTACATTACATCTACCTTGTAGTTACCGATATATTGCACACAGGTTTATGGACAAGGAAAACAGTCATTTAGAATCTTGCTTTTCTACATACATACATACATCATATTAACATCATGTGGTATACAAATGTTGATATATTTATATTCTATGAGTCATGACCTTCTAAAGTAGGTTCAGATAATCTAATGATAAACCTAGCTCATTACGTCAGTCCTCCTTGACAGTAGGTTAACAATGTAAGTTATTGTGCCTCTCTACTACTGAGCGATGTTCCGTATTGTCTCAATAAGTAAAATAGAATTAGTTTTATTCTAATTTTGCAGAATGTATCCCGGGAAAGCATGGCAATTCGTGTGGGCAGGATTGCTTATCAAATTGTGAAGATGGTTTGTGTGCTAAGGACACCGGCCACTGTCACGGTATGCAACCTCCGATTTATTGTTTCAGAAAGGGTGTACTTTTGGTTTTTCGGTTAAATAATCACATCATACACGAGATTAAGATCTTCCTTGTTTTTAATTTTTATCATTCTGTTGTTTGCTCGTTGTTGTTAAAGAGGAATTCTGAAAGAAGACGGATTTGCAGATTGAAACGTAATTTTATTGTACTTTTTCTTTGGTGCTCTCCTTTCTATATTTCACTAATGAGATACTAACATATTTGCTTTTAGACCATACTATATTAATATTATGTTCTGTGTATTCCGATAATTTGTCATTTATTTTCTGCTGCAAACGTTCTCAGGATGCATTCTGGGAAAGCGAGGCGACATATGTGAACTTGACTGCCCTGTTAACTGCCAAAATAGCATATGTGCCAAGGACACAGGATATTGTACAGGTAAGTATCTAGTATATGTAGACTGCGAAATGAAAATGTGTTTTCTCACTTTACCGCACTGTTATTGATCATAACTTGAGAAGTTATCTTGGTGCTGGCTTTCATTGAGATGACTGAGAGAAATAAACTATATTTACTTTTTGACTATAGTTGTCACTATAGTTGTCACTATTTGCCTTTTGAAAACATCGGTTCACTTTAATACGGAACTTGTATATTTCAAACATATTTTCGTTTTAGTATTTATCGTTCAAAGGAAGAAATACGTACGTTTAGCTTCTTTATATACAAATTTGCTGCCTCGCCTCTATTGCAGAATGTATCCCGGGAAAGTATGGCAATACGTGTGAGCAGGATTGTTCTTTAAATTGTAAAGATGGTGTGTGTGCTAAGGACACCGGCCACTGTGACGGTATAAAACTTCAGCCTTTTTCAAAAACGATGTTTTTGCATCTTTGTTTGTCTTATAATTACATCACTATAGATATTAATAACTTGTTGCCATAGGTTTTGTTAACTCTTCTGTGAATTAGTAGAAAAAGTAGTCAGAAATAGTAATACAAAGATACGCTGTTTTGTTGTTCTCTCCTATTCTCTTCTTTTTCTATTTTCTCTATTTCAATAATACAACAAATGTGTTAGCTATAATAATGTATAATTTGACAATGTTTTATTCGCTGTGAAGGGACATCTTTCTATTTACGGCCTTTTGATTTTGTAATTCTTGGTTTCTTTTTAACATCAGGATGCATTCTAGGAAAACGAGGCAACATATGTGAACTCGACTGCCCTGTTAACTGTCAAGACAGCATATGTACTCAGGACACAGGTTACTGTTCAGGTACGTATTTAGTGATCATGTTTGTAAAAGTTTTAATGAATATATCTATAGACAATGTACACTTAAATAACTTTTATTGCACTGTTATTTTTCATTGAGGTATTGGTTTTTTTCTTACAATCAATGAAACCCATTCTTTGGCTTTGTTAAAAAAGGGAGAAATTTATTTGAAAGAAAACTGTGAAAATATGTTCATCCGCTAGATGGAGATGCACATGCTAGTCGATGTCTATACATGTATGTATCTTGAAATGACATTTCATTCTATGAACGACGTTAGAACCGTAATCCTGATATCGCTGCTACAATACAGATTGCTGAACATATCTATTCACAATCACAGTTATAGTTTTATTCCTGTTATAAAAAGGACAATTGTACATACCGAAGTATTAAATAAAACAAAGATTTGTGTGTTAAAGTAGACATTCTAACAGGCTATCTAAGTAGTGACCAATCAAATAATATTTATAACTGATGGTTACTTTTTGTTCCTCACATATTTTAAGTAGTTTTGGCTTATCCGGCGAATAATTCCAAGACAATTGCCTGGTCAGAGAGAGCTATGTCCCGCTCCTGGAAGTTGATAGCTCCCAGATAGTTGTAATCGTCATGGTCACAATGGTTTTGAGACTTTTATCGGTAGTGATAAAGCCAGTCATTTGCTGGTAGATTTTGTATTGTGGGCGTTTACCAAAATATTACCCGGAGAAACAGAAATGATGACCAGAGCCTTCAGCTTCAGGCTACATTACCTTTGCATGGTTCAACCACCTTAGACAAAATATTTCAGAAAATTGCCCAAACAAACATGAAATAAGTGTTAAATAAATTATCTCCCTTTTTTAACATAATTTTGTGAAATTATTTGTAATTCCAGCTTGTATAACAGGGAGGCATGGTGATTTCTGTTCAAACATTTGTCACAACAACTGCCTAGATAACACTTGTGAGAAAAACAACGGACAATGTATAGGTAGGTACTTGTGCATCACTAACCAAGATGTATGCTAATTATGATATTGGATTCTTTCTCATGTAATGCTTTTTCAATATTCTTCTGTCATTTTTTTTAAAATATTTATTTATCTATTTTTAAGTTCAATTGTCACTTTTTGTCTATTAATATTGATACGATATTTTGAGAAGTGTAAGACGTGTGTCAAACCTAACATTTATAGCATACGTCAGATAAGCAGTGAATTCGTTATCTCAGAAGTTGTCCAGTCCCTGAAACACTTTTATCGTCATTTGTATTCAGGTTGTACTTCAGGAAAATACGGTGCGAACTGTGACCTCGACTGCTCTGGACATTGCAATAATAGTGTTTGCATGCAAATCAGCGGTCAATGCAAAGGTAAATGATATTCTATGTATGCGTTAAATTATGATACAACATACCGATGCATATCTGAAACTGCTCTTCATGCTATTTCGCATGTATATACTTATGCCAATTGATCTGAGGCGGACAATCAACAGTTATATATATTGTTACCCAGATATGAACAATATCTACAATATAAACTATCCTGTTATTCACAGCTCGTAAAAATATTGCAATGTATTCAGAAGTTACAGTGTTTACATTTTCACGTGCATGTTAATATATTCTTGCGCAGGTCATACTACCATTTTTAGAAAAGATCGTGAATATTTATCATGGAAAACATCACGGCCTCGTAAAATAGTAAAGGTCACAAGCAAGTTTTTCTCAATTTTTTATAAAATATGTTTTCACATTTTTCACATTCAGCGATTTTCTCTACCTTGTAACGCTACTGAAACAAAAATTTGCATCAAGAAAGAGGATTGTCTGAATGTGTTCTCTCATAATATTTTCATAATGGTATGCTTATATCGAGATCGTAATCAATTTGAATTAAAGCCTAAATACAAATATCATTTTAATCATGTTTAGAATGTGTTATTGGCAGTAACGCTACTGAAACAAAAATTTGCATCAAGAAAGAGGATTGTCTGAATGTGTTCTCTCATAATATTTTCATAATGGTATGCTTATATCGAGATCATAATCAATTTGAATTAAAGCCTAAATACAAATATCATTTTAATCATGTTTAGAATGTGTTATTGGAAAATATGGATCAACATGTGAACAAAACTGTCCACTTGATTGTAAGGACAACGTATGCTCGATAAACGAAGGCAAATGTTTACGTAAGTATGACACAATGTGTATGACATTGTAAAATCGGTTGTTCAAGGTTCTGTATACAGGTATATTTGTATTACTCTATATGTTTATTTGTAATTTTTCACATGTTCTTTCCGGATATTAGCAATTTGGTTTTATTAGCATCTGTATTGTGAGTAATGCAAATGCAACTTAAATACAACGCAATCAAGCGAAAATGTATATAATTTCTAAAATCGTCCTTAAAAGTGTACAACCATGATGATGAAGTGCTCTTGGCATCGGTAATACAGAAAATAAAACGATTTTTTTAGGAGAACAAAAGAATAAAAGAATTATCATACTGTTTGTCACATGAAAGCCATCGAATCGTATATAACTTTCTAAAATATATTGAATGAGTTATATATTATTTTGTAGACTGCATTACAGGAAGGTATGGTGAGACATGTACGTTTACGTGTCCTGTGACGTGTAAAGATTTCACGTGTGATCAACAAACCGGACAATGCTTAGGTAAAGGAATAAGACATACCACTGTATATATTATGAGAAGTTCTTTTTGCACAACCAATAAAATTTCTCATAATCCATACTTACCAACCCGAAGAAAATGTTTAGAAATACACTGTATATTTAGTCATATGTTATTGGCTGTGACAATTGACATGTGTTACTTTAAACATAAAATCATATATATTTGTTAATTAAATTATAAAAATCATTGCTTTTTACAAATGACTAACGCGCGGCGCTTTGTAATAAGTCCTTATACCATGATGATGTAGTTTTCGTATTGTATTTCAATTATGGAACACAAATGTTGAGAAGATCTGTCATTATTTTAATATATTAATTAGTTACTGTAATATGTACTTTTGAAAGTGATGTATGTACGTTGATGATTTGTAGCCAATATAAACTTGTATATGTTTAGATTGTTATCCAGGGAAGTATGGCGTCGTGTGTGGGGCCGATTGTCCGGTCACGTGTCGGGACATCTGTAACAAGGATGACGGAGAGTGTATACATGTAAACAATGGTAGATATATCATTTATAGTTACTACTCAAATAATGTTCTTTTACAAACTCAGTACAATTTATACCCTGATAAATTTGAGACATTTTCGTCAGAAAAGCTCAAGGAACAGCTTGATAAGAAGGTAATGATACATGGTGTGTTTAGATATTCTGTTCTGGGGTTGTTGCTGCTCGAAGTAAAATAAAAAATGCACATGTAAAATAATGCAATAGATATGGTTGAATTGCATATTTACTGCAGTTGGTATAATTGGGTCTGTTCAAAGTTGTTTACGCCAGATGTACGTATTTCTTGAATGTTAGATTGGAGATTGGATTTGATAAAAAAAAAATCACGTCAAACTAATTACGATTACTTCGCATACATTCGTATTGTTCTGATGAGTGATTATATATCCTGGCACGCGATCATATTGTCCTGGTGCGCGATCATTTTTTCCAAGCACACTATCATTTTCCCTCACATTATCCCGTTTTGTATACTGATATACTAAGAGTTAATATTATTTGAAATAATATTTATTCCTTCTGTTGATATCATATATAAAACTTTGTAGCAAGGAATAATAGCTAGTTATTTTCTCTATTAATTTTGATTAATCTCCTAATAAAATAAGGTTTGTTTTTACCATGGCAATACGTGTATAAACGATGTATTTTGCTTTAGCGCAATTTTATTTTAAGAGCACATATAAAAACAACGAAACAACAAAAACACACAAAATATATTTCCAATTAAATCATTCTAGGTCACGTGTTTTGTCGATGTTTTTCAGCAAAAGTGTCCGCAGAAGATGGTACAGATTACAAACTGATTGCGATAGCTGTTTTGACCGTCATTTGTGGGCTTATGTTGGCTGTCTTAATCACTTTGGTAGTATGTCTTATTCGGTAAGTATCACAACCAAAAAGTAAATAGGTAAAAGAACAGTGCATAATTTGTGACAGAGAGTGTTTAGAACGATTGTAATCAAAACATGTAAATTACACGTGTTTTTGGTCTATTATTATATACAATAGCCACTGATTTATGTAAGTTACACGTGTTTTTGGTCTATTATTATAATATACAGTAACCACTGATATATGTAAGTTACACGTGTTTTTGGTCTATTATTATTATTATATACAGTAACTACTGATTTATGTAGGTTACCCGTGTTTATGGTCTATTATTATATATATAAACCACTAATTTATGTAAATTACACGTGTTTTTGGTCTATTATTATATTAAGTAACCACTGCTTTATGTAAGTTACACGTATTTTTGGTCTATCATTATATACAGTAACCACTGATTTATGACAATATTCAACATTGGAAAGCATAACGACTGTTTTCAATATAAAAAAAATAAAATGTTATTAAGAAAACGTTATACATTTATCCCGTGTCCAACGAAATTCTAATACTTTAGTCAACCCAACATCTCGCCTGTTATGCTATTCGTTTGTTCAGTCCGGTTACTTAAAATGCCATATACGAGTGAGTAAATGTAATTGCTTCCATGTGCAGTAATTGCCTAGAACATCTATCAACATATCGACATGAAATTTGGAAACTTTTAAAATACAATCATTTCTCATTGTTTCTCCTTTTTTACCTTTTGGGTTTTGTAACTCTTCGTATATGGATTTATCACCAATGAACCGTTCCTGAGGGTCAAGGTCACAGTAAAGGGTTATGTTTCAAATCATACCAGCCTATATATTGTCAGAAAAGCCTTTTACGATGCATCAAAAAATCAAAACGAGGAATATTTTTCTATCCAAACAGGAATCCTATTTCGATTTATCGTAACTTGATAATGTGGTGGGTAGAACTGACATACCCGGACTGTCAAAAACAATTAAACCCAAAACAATACTCACCTTGTGTCGGCAGGGGACAATGAATGATGACAACTGCAATTTATTGTGCCGTGACTACACACTGTGGCATCTTTTAGTCAAAGACAAATAATAACCTGTACAATTTCTTGTACGCTGTATTACCATTTTTCTTTTTTTTCAGCAAAAACAAAGACAAAAACGACTCTTCAGACAAAAACATAGGTAAGGGGGAACATATTGCAGGAAGTAACAATGTACCCACGTACGGAAAATAAACAATATACACACGTACGGGAAATAAACAATATACACACGTACGGGAAATAAACAATATACACACTACGGGAAATAAACAATATACACACGTACGGGAAATAAATAACCTTCTTAAATTACATAGGTAAGGACAATTAAATTCAACCCATGTTGTCGGGGAGGTGACCCTTTACCTTTTCACTTCCAATCGGGGAGTTGAACTCCGGCCATATTCTTTTCAATATATAAGCCAAATAGGAAATGTATTGCCGATCCGTAAGGTTATTATTTTTCTATACGTTATTGATGTTTATAACTCATTTCAATGTTATTTAACTTACTTTGCAGAACAACGAAGTCAGGATCCTAATTACTCATCTCTTTCGGGTGTGCAGGAAGAAACTCCTAACGTTTATGAAATGATCGTCTCTTAATGGATAATTCAAAATCATCCAACTTTTTTCCCAGAAGATCAGATCATACAAATATATACCTGTTATCAGCGATGTATCATGGTGTACGGAACAGATCAGATCATACAAATACATACCTGTTATCAGTGATGTATCATGGTATACGAAACAGATCAGATAATACAAATACATCCCTGTAATCAACGGTGTATCATGGTGTACGAAACAGATCAGATCATACAAATATATACCTGTTATCAGCGATGTATCATGGTGTACGACACAGATCAGATCATACAAATACATACCTGTTATCAGCGATGTATAATGGTGTACGAAACAGATCAGATCATACAAATCCATACCTGTTATCAGCGATGTATCATGGTGTACGGAACAGATCAGATCATACAAATACATACCTGTTATCAGAGATGTATCATGGTGTACGAAACAGATCAGATCATACACATACATACCTGTTACCAGTGATGTATCATGGTGTACGGAACAGATCAGATCATACACATACATACCTGTTACCAGTGATGTATCATGGTGTACGGAACAGATCAGATCATACAAATACATACCTGTTAGCAGCGATGTATCATGGCGTACGGAACAGATCAGATCATACAAATACATACCTGTTATCAGCGATGTATCATGGTGTACGGAACAGATCAGATCATACAAATACATACCTGTTACCAGTGATGTATCATGGTGTACGGAACAGATCAGATCATACAAATACATACCTGTTATCAGTGATGTATCATGGTGTACGAAACAGATCAGATCATACAAATACATACTGTAATCAGCGGTGTATCATGGTGTACGAAACAGATGTTTTCGTGTATGAATACTGATCTGATCCAGTTTCTCTCACTTTATTACTCACAATTTGTGAATATTATAAAAAAATGTTTTTTTAGGGTTCATCATACTTCTGCATAAATTAATATACTTGGACAATATTTAGTTCGTTTGTATATTACATTTATTCCCGGAGTATGCACTCCTGCAGAGCAAATAAATGCGTGTATATTTTGTTGTATTAGATGTGTGTGATCATAGTGGTAGATATCTCAAGACTATCATATCATTGAATGGTAAATGATGTTATTATGTTACACTTATTACTGTATATAAGTTAATCAGATAGGCCAACTAACATGTTTTTGTGGCTTTGTGATATGATAGAATGCCTTTATCAAGGGGGAGTTCGGCCTTGAAAAATGTATCACATATAGCATAAGTGGACACTAAACAAGCTTCTTCTTTGGCAACAGATATTATAGCCAAATTCCGGATTGTTTTTCTCAAGTCATACCTATGCTCTTCCGATTTGCTTATAATATAAAAACTAATGATAATTGTCTTTAATTTTCAACTAAAGAGAAAATTTAGTTCTTGGGTAATAAAAGGGGAATTGTCGTGTAAGTTATGAATTTACATTGTTTTTGAAATTAATTATGCGTGTACATCTATGTATATATTGTATTTTATTCAACTAGGGAAATATGGATAAATCTGACTTTTACGCAATTTTCAAATACAATGATAATAAAGATGTTTAACTTTTTTCCTAAAAGCTTAGTGCGATGTTATAGATTTATAGATTATCACACTGCGTTGTCAGTATGTGTCTTGGGAACACTTTCTCATCGCAAGCACGTGGATAAATCGAGAGGCCACCGCGGTTTGACTCCAGATGTTATCCCCGTGCGAGCGATGAGAAAATATTGTTTGATAAACTGTTTGCCATCTATATATTTCTAATTTTATATATTTCTCAATTTAAAAAAGTCAACTAAACACATTGATTTCCAAGTGACTTCTAGGTTCAATGGCCATTGATAAAAAAATCTCGGTTTGTCACAAACGTAGGCAAACAGAAGATTTGCGCGGAAGAATACTATGAGCCTTAAAACTATGTAGAAAAAATATATTATCGTGATTGGCTTTTCCACATGGCCATTTACCCTTGGTGTTGTTATCCTCTCATATGATCCTGATATTTCAGTCTTTATCTTAATATATTTCATAAGATTCTGATATTTCAGTCATTATCTTATTACACTTTATATGAAACTGATATTTCAGTAATGATCTTATTACATTTGATATGATCCTTATATTTTAGGCATTATCTTAATACATTTCATATGATCTTGTGATTTCAAGTCATGTAAGTAGAAAAAATGTTCAACAAAATATAGTAAAAAATGAATAAAATAGGGTACTCGATCAGAAGGATATAACGACAATGCTAACTCTTTGAAAGTGAGTTTTGTTTGAAGGTCTGGCTTATTGGATATTGCATGATCATTAATAAAGTAAAAACAATTCTAAACAATCTTCATAGACGACGATGAAAGTGGGGGAATGGAACTAACTGAAAATGTATGGGCAATCAGATTTACCTGGAACAGGCATTGTGTTCAACTAATATAGGGGACACATCTAGGTTTTTTCTCATTAATAAAACACAGTTATTGGATTACAAAGACATAATATGTATTACAGTATACGCTGTTATCGTGTTTCCGTGTTGTACTATAGACAGTGTCGACAAGTAACCCTGTCAGTGTGTCTCCGTGTTGTAGAGTGGTTTTAACAGGTAACAATGTGTTGTGTTATGTTGTACATTATATACCTAAAATAATCCAAATACCTCTTGTATTTGTCTTCAAATACAAGAGATATTTTTTCTTCTCATTTTCTCATTCTTCAATACTTCTTCTCATTTTCGGTTTCCTTTTTTGATGACAACTATAAAATTCACTTTTACAAACTTTTTATTCGTCCAGAAATCACGGAATATATCATAAAAAGAAAAATCAAATAATCACATTAAAAAGGGAATAGTATTTCTATATATATTACAAAGCTGTGCGGTCTGTTTCCTTTACAACATTTTAGGGCATTTTACCTTGAATCAATTCTTACAAACTGATTAATTTATATATTCCGAAAATCAAAAACAGAAACATAAAAAATGCCTTTATAACCATTGCAAATACTGTAAACGTTCATATTTACATACGTACTCTTATTTTAGTGTTTTGCGCTTTAAATATTGCGCTTATTTATGACTGCGCCAATTACAGTTGCTATCTGTGACATATTTTGTGGGTGCGCCGATTGACCAATGCACCAATATGTTAAAATCCGATAGAGTGATAGTATGAGTACGTTTACAGTATTTCAGTAAAACTCTCATATCAATATTGGTGATACTTGGTTGCTGTAAGGGTTCAAGCAGGTTTTCGATTTGATAGGTAACATTGTACCAGGGTAGATATAGAAATAGAATGTATATGTCTTTACCTAGCTTCACCGTTAGTGTGAACTTATGTGTGGATAACTATATATATGATTTTATATACGGGTGAGTGAATAACCGGTATGCAATAAAAGCGTTTTGAATTTCTATTTTACTTTATGACTCTTGGTATCTGCCATAAATCTTAATCCATACTTTATTTAATATTGAATGGAAAACATGTTGAAATTCCATATGTGTATTATAACTTCAATTTATGATTTGTACGTAAATAAATAATAATACTTTATAATTTGTTTCTTAGTTATTTATTTTAAATCATATTTTTTATGTATTAGTTATGTTATGTTTTCATTAGAAGAAATTTTCAAATACTTTGATAACAAAAAATAATATAGCAATAACATTTAATATTCATTGATAAATAAAATATCTTGTAATATTAAAAACTTACATTTGATATATATTAATTATAATACTAGTAAATTAGTATCAAACCCGTAACAATCGTTTTACCTGCATAAATGTGTACTTGTATCATATGTCAATGTATCCACTACAAGATTAAAACATAGATTGTGAAACCCCACCGACACAATATTACATTTTAAAACTGACTTTCTACACCATTTTTATTGTCATCTGACAAACTGATGCCTTAAGGATAATACTCTTGTAAAACGTCACATTTTGTTAATGACTAACAGTTTCTTTGAGCCATATATAATTCTAAAGAGAAAATGAACAATTCAAAGCAACGATTGATGAAAAAAGTTCTGATGACTAACCTCTCTTAATTATATATACTGGACAAATGAAAATGCGTTTTTCTTAATACAGTTAAAATCGGCGGATCACTGTGCTTTGATGTGTAAACTTTTGAGGTATCAAAAAGATTTTAGCTTCAGCTTATAAAGATATGTAATAATAAACCAGCATTGTATTATTCCCTCTTTGTAACATATCCTTTTCATAATATTGAACATTTTGATTTTTTCATCAAAAATCAACTCAAATAGCGACACAATGACTTTTTGAGTAATCAGTCTAATGTCAAAAATATATTTTTTTGGCTTTTTACAGAGCTCCAGAAATACACATTTTCGAAATCGCCACCGAATTGGTCTTTTTTATACTTGTAAAAATTACTTCTTCAATCAATTGGTATCTAGTTTTTTTATATACTATTCAGATGATTGTTTGCTTTTGTAAAAATTATGATAATTTGTTTAATTCAATGAAATCCTTTTACACTAATTCAAAACGAGATTTGAACGTGCTTTAAACCTGAAAAGAGCATATCCTTCAGACGATCATTGTGGATCACATGACGCTTTTATAAAACAAACTATTCTGGACATTTATTTCAAACAAACAAAAAATTGATAATTTCTCCCGATAAATGAATAAATTTAGGAAATTTTACGGACCTTCCCAGTTGGGCTTCACAATATATGGTTATATGACTATAATCATACAGCTGGGTTTTTACTAGCAATGTGACTAGAACCCGAAACATCAGAAATGCTGCATAAAAAATTATCTGGTTTAAAAATTATCCTGAAAAATGGGGGTTTTTGGTAATGTTTGAGTACTACAAATGTGTTTATTTTAAGAAATTAAAATATGTTTCATTTGCAGGTGCATCATACACTGATAATCAGCTTAAATATATGGTAATGCTATTTAATTGTTAACGTGAAGTTATTTACATTGTCGTTCTTAGATGGCCAATGTTAATCTTCTTAAATTGATGCGCAAATTTGGTCTACATATTTGTTAGTGTCAGTGAGTCAATCTTCAGTCGAAAACATTTACTGTATACATGAAATATTTGTTAGTGAACACGACACCCCACAACCCAAGCTTGAAACTAAGAAATTCAGCAATATGGCCCAAAACAAATGCATTATAAAGTACTGTGGAGCCCAACGAATTACGTCGATATACTGTTCTTTGATATATCATCGATTAGCATCAATCAACACTCATTTTTTTTGTATCAAAAGTAGACAGTCTCTCGTCTTAATAGTTATTTTCCTAATAAATTACTGGGGGGTTTTTTCCCTAAAGAGACTTTTTTGGGAGTGTTAACATTTTGAAAAATATTTCCAGTTATGTAGCAGTAAAGTATTATCATCACCAGTACCCGTAACGCAGTGTAACAAGTCTGTTTTATAATCAAAGAGGTAGTTTATGTAAAACTAATTACATTGTTAATTGCCAAGCAACTGCAAATCAGTACAAATGGCAATCAAGTTGGAAATTTTCTTTGTTTGAGATGTAAGGGCCTGTGACTTTATACCTCAGTGTCTTCAAATGATGACTTTTTATACATAATTATATGCAAACGAATTTAATTATCAATTTCAACTTTTTTTAAATATACTAGATCAAAGATTTGTGGTAAACAACTATGCGCAGATGTTAAAAGCTTCTGATTCCGTGAACAAATGAAAGTATTGTAATCTTAACAACACATTAACCTAAAAAATTAAAATATGGTTAGCTTAACGACACATTAAAGTCTTGTGAAATTGAAAGCACATTAAAATCTGGTTAACTTAACGACATATTAAAGCCTGGTTAGCTTAACGACACATTAACCTCTGGTTAAATTAGCGACATTTTAAAGCCTGGTTAGCTTAACGACATATTAAAGTTGGGTTTACTTAACGACACATTTACACACAAGGTGAATCATTCAAGATTCATTATTTCATATATGAAAAGAAACAATTATAAATATCAGCTAGGAGTAGTGTGTCTTTTCTTGAAGCTCTTTACACTTGGGATTAGGCGTTAGTGGTCAACAATCCTTATTTCTCGTCATCAGTTAACCTGCACGATTTTACAACTAAGATGTATTTTTTCTCTTTTTTTTCTCAAAGAAATAAATTCAATGGACGATTTCGAAAACGGCATTGTGATTTAAGATGAACGTCATTTTGATTTAATTAATACAACAATTGGCATAACGATTATATTTTTTTTTAATTTCTTCATCAAATCATCAAATACAACCTTGGTGCGAGTGATTTGGTGATGATGTTCAGTTCTCCATGTTTCATCATAAAACTAATTTAGTTTTGTTCCTTTAACGACTTAACCAATATGGAGAAAAAAAAATTCAATTTGGAAGACATTTCACAAATCAGGCTTTGGAATTTTCTAAATCGTCCATTGTGATTAGCCACGGTACGTAGGCGTACAAGCATATTCAATTATACAGCAACTATCAAACTATATCCCTGACATAAAAACTGTATCATAGATTGACATTGATGAAATATTTCTTCAAAATACAATGGTTCGTGTCATTCTTTTTTCAATGGTCGTCCTCGTTTGAGGTTACACTTCGGCCATTGATTTTGTCTCTTTGCCAGGCATTCTATATAGTGATGTTCGTCACAAGATGGCGCTTCCACTTGAACCCAACCGACTGTGATGGCTTCCATCTTGTATTCTTTGGATAGAGTTTTCATGTATTTGCCGATTTCCTGTGCGTCGTATCCCGCTAAGTGACTCAGCAGTCGCTCTCGCATACAGTCGCCTGATTTACCAATGTATATTATAACGCTGTTCTCCTTCATGACAAAAATGCCTCTGGTTTCAGGAGGTGGAAGGTCCCGGATGCTATGGGATTGGTCTATTAATGACTGACATTGATATTCCTCGCATCCACGTCCGCTCTACAATATAAAATATAAAACAACATTGGAGAGCAGTGAAGTTTTTAAAGGAATTAAAGGCATGATAGATATTTTCGTTTTAATTACACCATACGCTTTAAATATGTTCGAAGAGAAATCGAGTTTTCAGTATTTTTCTTGCTAATCATGTCGGACTTTCAATCATACAGAATTGTTATGGACAATGCCTAAAGCATAATCAAATTGATGTAGTTGTCTTTGTGTCATTTAATGAGCTAAATATTATATAATACAGTATAAAATATGTTACAAAATCAGTACACAAAACTTGAAATAAATTCAGGCGAAAACAGGTCCTGCACCACATGTGCCATCGCCCATGATGTCTCCCTACAAATTCACGAAAGACAATTTATGCCACACAGACTTCTAGTATGTATGTTCTTCATCTAGGTAGACATCACGTATGTGGAAATGGTGTCATGGTTGAAGGGTGTCTAACGTAAACAGGGGAGTTATTACAATTCTCAAATGTCAGTTGTAAGTGGTATGTAAAAGTGTATCTGGTGTCTGATTTATAAAACAAAGAACTTGATTTTAGTCATGGTAGACTCTAAAAACCTCTGGTTGGGAATCAGGTCAGGGAGTTCATCCTTAACGACAAACTATAATATTCTTATATCGAAACCCTGTAGATGTCCATTTTCAGTATGGTTAGTATGTGTATCAAGTGATAAATAAAGGGGGCATAACCCAATGCACGTATTACAAATAAACTTGGGTCATAGCAGTGATTCAAAGTTCAAGATTTTCTAAGAATACAACCAAAATAGATCATTTCTTAGAAATGTAAAGGCTTGGCATAGTAATAAATATTTTATTCAATATCATAACGATATGTGACGTCATTACACTTATCATCTAAGATTATTAAACAGTTGATGTTTAAACTCTCTATAAATCTGTTGCCCCCACACACTCCTGAAACAACACACAGGTTCAGAATCAATTGTACATCTACTGCACATGTATATGACTTTGTACTTATGGCGATCTCTGGCGAGGTATTTGGGAAAAAAGAAATGCAGAACTGGTCCACTATTACATCATTATATATATAAGTTTGTTTTAGGTGCGATCAGGATTAAGGATAGTCAATGACATACCTTGCATATCTTGGACTACTTCCGGCGTCTTCTGAATATCATGATATATTACATCATGGTTTTTTAAGATCAGTGATACCTCCTGGTCTGCCAATTTTTTAAAGTTTATTTTGGCATATGTTTTAAAATGTATGCATGACTAATTTATCTGCTAGATTTTGTTTGTGTTTTACGTCCTGGTGACGTACCCGGCGACTGCCCCACGTAGGTCTCGAACCCGCGACCCATTGGTGACAGAATGTCAGACGCCTTAACCACTTGGCCACCAATTTGGGGTAAGACAGAAAAATGACAACCCAGTAGTAACATTCTTAAATGCTTAAGGCTCGACATTTAAGATTCTTATCTTTTGGTTAAGATATTTGTGTTTATCTAGTAGACTATCATTATACATGTATATAAGCACACATAACTTAACAACGTTCCTGGAATTGCACCGGATTTTACCTTTTAAATATCCGGTTACATCAAGTATTTGCAGAGTCATATTTATATTCATGACAAACAATTCTTCAAATTCCACCTGCATGTTTTTACGATAACAAAACATGCCCATCCTCTGTCTCAGGTGAAAATCGCAACTTTGCTCATTCAAATGAACAGACCTAAAGAACCCAATGGCATGTCATAAATATATTTCCTTTACTATTTTCTACCTGTTATTGACTTTCTCTGGTCTATATTGCCTAGTCTATGTGTTACCTATGTTCGATTTTTGCGTGATCTTTGTGTGTCATTGGGTCATGATATCAACCAAGTCTTATATCATGTATACAGATTAAAATGTTGGGTTCATTTAATAAAATTGTTTACGATAAGATGAACAGTAAATCTATCGTAATGAAATATGAAATTGGTATGCCAACCAAACATTTTGGTTTATTATAAATGAATATATTGACAACAGAGTATATTTCTCTTACATATCTGATGATGCAAAAATATGTTTTATCATTGTTATCATACAAAATGTAGCTTTATATACACGTCCCTGTCACAGTCTCGTGTTTTATCGTCGATCGTAACCTCTCGGCCGATTCCGGCAAAACTCGGAATCAAACTCGATTTGTTACTTGTCTTCTATCTAGATCTGTTCCTTAGCAGCTATCACGTGACCTGTTAGTACTGTTGTATGTTTGATCCACCTTAGAAATCAAATGAAATAATAATTTAATATTTCATTAACGGTAAATAAATAACAATTTAACAACAGATACATCCCAGTTGATTTTGGATATGTAGATATTACAAAACAAGTTGCAGTGTCTGAAAGTGTTACCAATCTGACATATACGTATACGTAACTTGTACATCTAGTTATATTGATATCAGTTACTATAATAACAGCACTAGTGTTACGCTCAATAAAGGCAAACACTGTTGTAGAATAAATTCCATGCGTGCATACTTACAACGGAAACAGGCATGGCTGAGTTCGCTGGTGTGGTCTAGTGATAAAGACAAACCGATATGAGGTGGGAAACTTATGACCTTGGGCTTATAACATTTCAACTGCTCTATTCTTGGAAAGATTTATAAAATAAGTACGTTTCCAAGAAATGGTTGGTCGATTTTTTTTATAAACGGAGTTGTAATGTATTTATAGTATACACATCGATACGGTATTTCTCCTTTCGTAATGATGTTGGTTTTGTCAGCACAGAAACTGAAAGTGATAATCACATCATTTCAGGACGGAGTAATCAGAACGTTAGCTTACTGTCTGTTAACGCACTGACCCACATTTACGTACGTTCTATGTTAGAATGTAACAAATATATCAACATTAAACTCATTAATTAACATATGGTCCGAGCTTGTTTTCATAATATAGTACATTAGAGGAAATATTCAGATGAAGTTAATATTATTATAACTAAAATAAAAAGTCGTATATAGTGAGAATTGAATCATTTTATCAATTCCAGCAATAGATATGCCTATCATTGTTATCATGTAATTGTTTCAATACTGTGTGCCTAATCCCTTGTTCAATTTTAATCGGCTATAATCATGTCAGAAAAATTTAAATTTTCCATAATATTGCGTTATATTGATAAATGACCCAGTTTTTGACCTTTGGTGATGACCATCCATCCGCTCAGTTGAACAACAATGTATACGGTTTTGTACACAGACAGCTTACTAGAGTCCTCTTATTCTCTGTAAAGCTAGAGATTACACACAATTTCTAAACGAGATATTACATTTAATCAATTCATGGTTAACTTCCTTTTGAAATGATAATAAATTGCTGATCTGTGGAATTCCCCTTTTACGCATGTAAAACACCATCCATCAATTTATACCCTAAAAGAAATGTAAATATCCTAAATTAATTTAAGTGTTTCCGGTAATTGATATAATGGCGAAAGACTAACAAAAATCCATTACTCCACAATAGGAATAAAATTAAACTCCCATTTCCAGGGAAAACTTTAATTGTATGCCCAATTTGTAATTGCGGGTGAAGAAAACGAAACAAGTTAGTACTTTCTCCTACGTTGCTCTGACTATACCGAACATCGACATATTTTCTTTCTTGTGAAATTTCTTCCAACTGAATCCGTTAAAATCGTACTTTTTTTTAGAGATGCGTAAAAAGCTATCTTCGACAATGTCCAAACCTTAATATTAAAAATCGATCTTGTCAACACCTTTTAACTAGGCATGATCTTATTTTTTACTTCCATATGCAAATCATAACTGACCACTACCTTTCTCTAACTAATCAGTCGCTGCCTGCTACATTTTAAAGAAAAAGACAAATCCTTCATGTATGTTAATTACGAAGTACTGTTTAAAACAAAATGAAATAACATTCAAATAAACGAGATCAATTTGAACTTTATCATTTTTATAGCATGGACATCAATTTCAAGGCTGTTTTGTTACCACGTAAGATTTTGATGTAAGATTTTCTTTTGTCATAATGATAATGACGGAAAGCCTTTTTTGTAAGAATATTTAGAAAAATGAATGAAGTAAATGAAAGTGGGTCTCTGTGAAGTTTCGAGCCCTTTCGTATTGTATGTGTAGTCTTTTTTCATTTACGCTTGTACTCTATCGTATTAAACCATTTCTGTGTATAAACTGTTATTAAAGTTAAGTTTAATCTAAAAAAAGGGCATTTATTACTCTGGTATATGAAAAATGTTTACTGATTATGCATATATCTGTAAATGAATTGGCAAATACAATTTTCCACTCCCATCACACAAACACTAAACAATCAACATGTTATGTACAGGAAGTATGTATTACTTACATTATTGTGTAAGTAACTTTCCTAGAATCAACATTAACGTTTAATCCCTTGCTGCGTCCTATCGTATACGAATATACAGACATTTTCACTTGATGACATTGCACATATGAATATTGCTCATATCTAAAAATAGTGTAACCATATTTGGACGGAGGTGGCGTAATCCGTGTATAGTATTTCAATATCCTATTGTGTACAGCCGTCTCGTACGGAGCACAACACATTGTACATACATAAGTAGTATCTACGAGAAAACTGTCAAACTTGACACAATGCAAGTTAGTTATATAAAAAACGAGTTAATTGACAATCTAAGATGTTACATTTTGCACTAACGTGTTCACTGTATTAGTTCTACAGGTGCATTTGTTGACGTATAATTGATTAAAAGAAAGTTTTATAAAGTGAGTTAGTTTATGTTATTTTTCCTCGGTCCGGGAGATTTTGTTAAAAGAAATCGCTTTATTGGATAGATTGTATTGTTGTAACACATTTTTTATTTGACTGACTGCAGGAATTCCCCGCAGTGACGACTGGTCTAAATTAACCCCAAATTGATCATGTGATACGTGGATTTCCCAATGCTTCATGACTTGACTGATCACAATTTGTTGATCGGTATTGTGTCTATCTTGTTTTTATTCATATAATCGTCTTTGCTGGCATTAAGCCAACATTTAGAAGTAAGTCATAAATTAATGAATACATAGACATAGATAAAGGTGATGTCAGGGCCACATTCAGGAACGTGCGCGCGTGACAAGTTTCATCAACAACTTAATTAGCTCTCACTTCACCATTATTTCTTCTAAAAAGAAGTGTGAACTGTGATATAATTTTAGTGGGGATACCCCAACCCACAGCCCTCAGCCCCCAGTCCCCACCCCACTCCCAGCCCCATAAAGTTACCATTTTGGTTGCTTTTATAATTTGGGGTTGAGGAGTGGGGAGACTTAGATCCAACCTTTAATTTATATAAGAAATTTAAAGGATGATGAAATGATATTATGAGTACAATATCAGCTGAAAATTTCAAAGGCTCTCCTGGTACATAAACTTCTGATTTAGATTCTTATCATCTGTTTGATATTTATATATCATATCTTTATAAAGATATATAATATATATGAATTTTTCATTGTGTTATTGTTTCCTGATGACTGGTAATCTCGAGTATACCTATAAAGGGGCAGACCGGCCTGAACATTGGACACATTTCTTTGTCTGCACCGTCATTATTAAAGTTCTTTGTCCATATATCCATTTAAGTAATACGCATCCTAATTGCCAATATTGGATCATAATTTCTTTATTACTTCCGAGACCTATATTCATATCTTTATATAGAACACTATATATTAACAGATAATCTTCAATAATACTAACCAAACAACGAAGTGCATTGAACAGTGTGTTAAGTAGGGGCATTAGAGAATTAACTAACATAACAATATACAAGTAGTATACCATTCTCCATATAAGGGTGCGTTCGTGGTTGTCATCGTCGGTCAATTCCCAGTAAACACAAAATGTCGTTTTCGATCAGTAGCGAGAACAGCCAGTATTTCCACTGGAAATTTTACTTGGGATTCCCCTACAGCGCATGCGTGTACGTAACTATACATTGCTGATACAGGTTAATGTTTCTGTAAGACAACTATACACGTTTGTTTTTATCTTACTCCTTATATCAGATTCATACCACAATACATTGTTAGTAGACAAACTTTGTATAATTGTTATCATTCACAAATATAAGTTTGTCTTACTTAACAACCAAACTATACTTATCTTAAAGTAGACAGAACAGTACTATGCACTCTCTAAAAGTGATCATGTGTAAAAATATTAAGAGTGTCCTACTATTCAAATGTATGCAGACATTGAATAGTTATTTTCCTGTTAATTCTTTTCGCTATAATTATATATTTTGGGTGTTTTAAGGCATCAGAATATGTTGAAAATATTCCCAATAATCGTAATTAGTCCGCTAAAGATCCCTGCTTCACAATGAAGCGGTCCAACGATCGAATACTCAGTGGAGAGACGTTTTAGAAAGGAGAAGAAAAGGGAATTATATTTCCGTATTTAACCTTTTTTATATTGAATGATTACGCAATTCCAAGTGGAAAAAAATCCTTTTGAAAGTCTCCTTAGTTAATGCAACATCAGGCGCTACCTTCTACCTTAATTGAAGTACTGGCTCTCCTGAGTAACGGCACTTTTTTTTTAAACTTTTTCAAAAACGTGTCATGGTTACTATTGAAGAAAGAACTAAGTTATACATTTTCCGTAAGCACGTACTGCTCCGCAACCAAGAAGAAAAATTCGAAGATAATTGTCAGAAAATGGCATATTGTAAGAAGCTATCGTACAGATTACATGTAGTCCAACATGTCCACCAACCTCACCCTATGCAGTGCACAGTTGGCGACATCATGTATATCTTGGGATACATGTAGACTCGTCATTTACCTACACACAGAAATCACGTGAGCCTCATACAGCTTACAATTAATATCGTTTCATTGAACTGTTGTTAATGTATTTTTGCGGATTTGAATTTATGATAAAACACCGAAAACCAATGGAAACCCTTTTCTTTTTCCAAATGATCGTTTCTGTTGGGTTTTTTTTGTCCTTTAATGTTAGCTTACAACATTGATGATTGATAGCAATTGTATTTATTTTAGCAACTGAAATGTTCGGTCTAAGGTTGAGGGTCCATACCTTAGGATTTGCTTTATGATAAACTCATGTTTTCACTATACCATCTGGTATACGGTAAAGGTGTTCCATCATTGTATATTAAAAACATTTTCTAACTTAATAGGAATTAGATTTGTAGATATAGACCAAGAATCAAACATACGGTGAACATCTTACTGAATTCATATTTGAGAAAAAAAAGTATGTTTCATGATGTTAAGGGACACCCAAACCATCACCTAGGGCTGGAATTTTTAGCGAGTTTATTACTCATACAGCATGTAATTGGTTATTTATAATTATTATCAAGTCCCTGTGCAACCGGCAAAATAAAAATCCTCCGTTGAAACCTTTGCCAGTGTTAAGAATACATACATCATAAAACAATTAATTAGCATTGCAATATATCAACACTGTTATCTTCTTTTCACATTTTCCCCATTTGTTTGCCCTATCCGGAATTATGTTTTCGTCTCGACTTAATTTTATAGACCCAACGCCATTTCCGGTAAAGGAACACGTGAAGAGAAAAACTTTATTTATCGCAACAATTATGTCAGAGAGTGACTATTCTTCCGAACAGGAAAGCGCTGATTCTGATACAGAGGTAAACCAATCTCTTCTGTTAATTAATTTTATTATTTTAAATAGTAGTGTGTATATCGTTTGCGAAAGACATCCTACTCCAGGTAATCTTCTATGCCAAGAACAGGTTGGGCACAACGGCGCATATATATATTATCCTGCATTCGGGTAACAGTTACCGATCTCAGTAATAATTTTATTACTGAAATGGGTAATAAAGTGAAATAAAAACACACAAAGTTCTTGTACACATCATGAACAAAATGAGGCGTCATTCTTTTAACATAATCAAATAAAAAATACAATGAGGTACAATTATGTACAAAAATATGTTAATTCAGTTATATTTTTTTTGTGAAGAATGACAAATTGTATCACCTCCATTGCTTATAGTGTTGTAGAGTAGCTATAAATAGCACACATAAAAATATCATGCTCACCTGTCACATTTACACTGGATAGTCCCATTGACTACACACTGAAGTCAATGGATAACAAAGTCACTGATATGGTTTGTCCTTTGGAATATGGATGGAATGGCTATGCAAGTTACGAGTGAGCCGGTCTGGTGGTAATAGTTTGCCTGATGTTTCGATGTTGACTAGGCCGTTGTGGATCTTGTACATCATCACTAGTCTAGCGTTTCTTCTCCTGTCTTCTAAAGATGTCCACTACAGTTGTTCAATGATGGAGCTAACAGATGAGGTGTTATGATATCTGTTTTTGACATATCTCGCAGCCCGTCTCTGTACCATCTCAAGGCATTATTTGTTGTTCTGCTGGTATGGGTCTCATGGGGTGCATGCATACTCAAGTGTAGGTCTCACTAGGCTCATATAGGCTTTCTCCTTTAGATTACTGGTCTGTGCTGTGACCCCCATCAGTATAGCATTGCCATATGTGTATTTCAGACATTTGTACGAACCCCTGTGAGTTACTTATAGAAACTGAGATCAAATACCACAGGTTTATTAATCTGTGCATAATGGAGTCTATAATAACATCATCAATGTATGAAATATTTTGTATTCTTTGTCAATAGCACAAAGCAATTGTCATAAAACTGAACTATCTTTTTACAGCTCCAGTTAGCTTTTGCAGAGGGAAGATTATCCGATGGCTTGAATGTCCAACTAGTAGCACCAAAAACATTCACAAATCATGTGGTAAGACAAAACAGTTACGATGTAGGCCTACTTGAGACCTGTTGGTGATCCTAGTCATATCATTGGCTGTCTGTTAAATCACAGGAGCTCGTTTTGATCAATAGTAAATAATAAGTGAACATGTTTATATGACATTGCATCATATGACGACCTACTCTAAGATTGTTGTCTTACAATACAATTTGAATATCATAAACTCTTTCTCACTTATTATTTCTACCGATCAAATTGAGCTCCTGTGGGTCAGTAAAGTTTAAATACTTAAGTCTCAGCTATGTTTATAATAACAAAATATTGACCAACAACTTGTTCTTGAAATTATTAACCAATTGCCTGTTACTCAATTTCAGTTTTTAAGCAACATAAATGCAAAAAGACAATATGGCCGGCAACTTCAAATTGATGAATAAATCCTATCAATGTTAAATATAAAGTAAAGTTAAAATGTCCACTAATTTAACAAGCTTTGGTTATGAAAATTTAAATACAATATTGTTAAGAATGCACAATATATCAGTAACTGCAAAGGTCCACCTGGTTTCAAACCTTCAGTTTCTCTCACAAACATGATAAAACATGTGTTTTATTTTTATTTTACAACAATATTAATCATAAAACAAATTTATCAACATATATTATCACCCTTGTTGGCCCAGATGGTAGTATATAGATGCTACCCAAACATGACCACCTATGTTTTTTGTTGTGTTTTTTTTTCTAATCATTTTGATAAAGCAAATTTGATTATAAATCATGTGACCCCACTTAATGTTTTATGCAATTAGTTTGCTTATGATATTTGACCCTGTTTTAGGAAGGCTTAAAAGCAAAGCTGGCAGAGCTTAAGAATGGCCTGGGTTGGCTGGAGAGACTTGACCTGACCAATGAGCCAGCACCTGCTCAACCAGGCACAGATATGGTGGGAGATGAAGACATTCACGATGACTTCAAGAGAGAGTTAACATTGTCAGTATAGTTAACATTGTCAGTATAGTTAACATTGTCAGTATAGTTAACATTGTCAGTATATTTAACATTGTCAGTATA